GCCGGAATTTGGCATTTGCCGTCCAGCACGACCGTTCATTTTCTGTTTGAACAGTCAGCCGATTAATGTTGTGCGATCGGTGGCCAGTGACGGCTCTGTGACGGAAACGCGCGACTGAAAACGAGGAGCTTTCGATCCGAGACGACGGCGAGAGAGAGAACCATTGTACCGCTCTGTTGGGTTGAGAGAATTGAGTGGGACGGTGGGTGGATCGTGCCATCTAGTGGTCTGTACGTTAAGAATGTGGCATTTACATTTTTTTTTATATTATTATTTAGTCTTGATTTGAAGCTTTCGTGACTGCAGGAATCCATACTCTTTGGTACTTTCGGTAAAGTCACGTAGGTAGAAAAATAAAATAATATTTTATATATCACTTATTTTTTGTTTTGTTTTATTCTTCTACCTACGTGACTTTACCGAAAGAACCAAAGAGTATGGATTATTATTATTATTCGACTCGACAAGTCCTCTATCTAGTTACCGCCGAGTTGTATATGCATTGTTTACATCGATTTTTAGCTGAGGTTATGGAGGGTCCTTAACAATATAAAAAATGCGTAAGTTTTATTTATAGTTTATTTACCGGCCTCGACGCAGTGTATGCCTCTCTGGCGTTGCGCGGGATGTATCGACGTCCCCACGGAGTGTTAATAAAAGCAGTGCTGACGATAGTGCTGACCTCTCGTCTGCATTGCAAATACGCGACGTGGGGCGACCTGTGTCACTTGAATTAAGTTTACTTTAAAGTAAAATCTTGACTTAAAGCTTTGAAGTACCCTGTGAGCCAAGAAGCTCCTTGAAAGTCGGGGTTCATCAACAAAAACAACACCACTGCCTCTCCGACAAGGGCAACAAGTCACGGTAAAATAAATTAAAAATAAACGATAACAGATTAGGTCAATAAAAACTAGCTAGCAAATCATAATCGCAATATAAAAAAAATATATTGCTTTTTAAATAAAAAAAAAAAATTAGTTAAATATAGATCATCAAATACCCTGCTGTCTCGAAAAATACGAATTCAAATCTTCCATAGTTAGTCAAATGCAGATACGGCCTCAAACACGGCGGCATCATAGTGAGGAATAAAAACCCACAGTATGCTTGGATTGCAGCGCGAGGCTTTGAGCGGACTGAGGAATCACTTCGGACACCCACCCCACCCGCCCGCCTCACCGATTAGGGCAGACATTTTAAATAATAATAATAATGAGTATTAGTACTTGTGAATATTGGCTCCGGATCTTTCGTCTGCATTGTAAAAATTCCCATAAGCGGTGGTCACGAGTCAGAGAGAGACGACCCTCAACACAGTGGCGCGCCTGGTGAGTGCGCATCGAGAACGGGGTGCCCGAGACAACGCTGTTCGTGAAGGCACCGTACCGCGCGCGCATTTCATTATTTATTATTTACTTCCAAAGTCTTTGGTTCTATTCGGTAAAGTCACGTAGGTAAAAAAAAATAAAACAACAAAAAATCACGACATTTCGGCCACAACACAAGTGGCCTTCATCAGGTGAAGGGACCGGACTGTCCAGAGGACAGCGTTGGAGTGAAAACAGCCAAGCCCAGGTCGCGTCCTTTAAGCTGTTTGGGAGGAAACAAAAGCGCCTTGACAAAGGAATTATCATACAAATGAGCATGATGTACGTAGGGGGGGAGGGGAGTTTACTCTTTTTCTTGAACGTGGACTTTTATTAACAAGTATATAACGTAACTAGGATATACAGGGTGCTTCAAAAACATTTTAACACTTCAGAGAATTTGCAACGACACCACAGGAAGTGTCCCTCCGTGCTCTGGAGACCGCCTGGAGAAGGTCACAGACCACGTGTTGACAACGATGGCGAACACGTGCAGACTCTGTGACTTTTTGAAGCTATTGACATTACATTTGTTATCACGTCACAGTGCAGTATCTGTTCTTTTTCCATTAAAAACGATAGTCCCATGTAAGTGTTAACATTTATTTGAGGCACCCTATAAATATGTATTTGATTTGTGGAAGATAAGCAATAAGCATGATAGTCAGGCGGTCGGGTGAGGTATGATTGGGGTGGGGACCCAAAATAATTCCTGTCCAATGCCCCACCAATGGGCAGGACCCCCCCCCCCGCCACTCAATTCTCTCGTCGAGTAACACGCGTGGAATCCTGAGTCGGCCGTGTGGGTGCTTAGATAATAATCCGGTGACAGCGACGCCTTGTGCCAGCGAACGCGGTAATGCAGAGCTATAAACTCTGCCGCGTCGCCTCACGTGGATTCTTTTTGTTGTTGTCGTTAATTCCAGTCGTCTTACATCTCGAGAATGCAGCGACAGCCATTGGTGATGAGAATTTGCAGTTGGCGCAGTGAGTTGCCGCGGGGTCACGTTTTGTTACCAAGAATTCCCGGGTGCAAAAGTAAAGGCGACGAATAAGTCATCACGAAATTAACAAACCAAACTCAGAAATGTACGCATGTTGAAATTCATCCGCACCGTACATAACCAACCGTGCTAATCGGAGGTGCGAAAAGATACGTGAATGGAGCGCATAGGTATGTTGTGTAATCCTCAATGGTATAGTCATCATCATCATCATTAGCCGTGATCGATCCGCTACTGGATGAAGGCTTTGCCAAGCCGTCACCATCTCTCACGATGTAACGTCCCGATGGGCACCTGTGCACGAGCTGATTTAATCGTGGACGCGCTCCCAGACGCCTTCCTCCCTTTGCTGGCCGCTGTCATTATTCTTGACCATCAGCCACCATACAATTTGGTGACATTCTCAATGGGGGGGGGGGGGGGAGGGCGGGATTCCAATGCAAGAGTTGTGATCGAATGCTCATTGCCTTCTGCTAAATAGCTGAAGACACGTTTTCATAGGATCTAAAAAGTAACTGGCAATGAGGGAAACTACACGGTGATGCCGTGATCTTTGTGGTTGTCGTTATACACGGCGGAGTGATTGAGGGGAGCTGATGAACACTATTTATCTTGCCTCGTCGTAGAAGCAGCAAGAGAGCAGAAAGCACGATGAGTAAGGGTGTAATGATTCGGCCTCTTCACAATGCAATTCATTGCCGTGACTCAGTATCGCATCACATTGGCACGGTTGGCCACATACGATGCGAAAGAAATGGAACATACAAACATACAATTATGATAGTTAAACATGTTTAAACATTGCTGTGAATATAGCCGCCTCTAGTGGCTGGAAGGGTCACGTGAACCCATTACACAACCGGACCTGGGATTAATGAAGATTACAATCAGCGTTGTCAGCTGAAATGGCAATTGCTTTGTGATTACAATTCATTATGAATGAATACAATTGCAATTGTCATCGAACGCAGGTCTGCGTATAATACAGGGACTCCTCTACTTATAAGCATTCGACTTACGGACCTCCAGAGATGCGAACAAACATATCTGTATGTCCAAGTTGCCTGTTCAGACCGAGAGTCGTAAGTGAAACGGCATCTACATTTGCAGAACATAAAGAACCGGTGGCATCTACATCCACAGGAGATTATACAACTTTTAAAGCCATTCCCCATATTTAATGTAAATGCCGTACAATATGTTTGGAATCGACAGGAGTAAAGTTGGACTTACGAACAAATCGACTTTTGAAAAGAACCTCTGGACCCTAACTAGTTCGTAATTAGAGGAGTCCCTATATATATATACAAATTGAAAAACACAGATTCTTACACCCACGATTCGATGCATACATTTGTGAACCATGAGAATCAAAATCGATTGACGAATCAAATTTGAAAAATTACTCGCGAATTACTTAATTATATGGAAACAAAAACCACGTAGCAACATTGCCCTCTGTTGGTAGACAACAGCCATTCGTGAGCTGGTTCATCCGTATTTCGTGCCACGTAGGGACAGCTGCCACTGGGGAAGGGGGGGGGGTCCCCCTTGGCTAGACTGCAGCAGGGCATGGACATGGTTGGGATGAGATGTGATCAAAGGCATGTTGAGTTTCTGAGCTATTTAAGCACCCTGTTATTCTTTACTCTTCACACCTTGATGGACGATGATACCGAAAGTACACAGCCACCAGTGGGTGATGCTCATGTAGGGAAAGGCACTCGGCACGTGCCCAGTCTAACGAGCTGCAGGTAGGCGAGGACTATTCCCAAGCCACCCCCGGTTTAAAGGAAGGGACATGAATGCAAAGTAATACTAAAACATAATCATAAAAAAACAAGTGCACATTACGTTATCTTGTTTAAAAAAAAAAACGTCATCGTGAAAAATGCATCCCCGTGCTAATGCGGCGGAGGGAAAATGGTTTCCTCCTCGGAAAAAAAAAAACCGAGAGCTCTCAAATTCGCAGCTCCTGTTGCTGAATGCGTGAAAGTGACCGTGACGGATTTTGTAGGGGGGGGGGGGGGGGGGGCTCTTCGCAAAAATGAATTCCAACGATGCCCATCACCGCATCGCACAGCCGCCATAACGCGCGCGCGCGCGCTCTCTCACTCTCTCCACTCGGAGATGCGTGCAAAGTGGCCAAAGCCTTTGCGAAGTTTTATTCATTCGCGGGCATAATTTTTGTTTTATTTGACGTCGCAAGGACGTCTTTGACCGTGCGAGTAGTAGTGTTTAATACATAACAGTAAGGGTAAATGTGTCCGGAGGGGGGGGGGGGAAGTCAACATTTTTTTCCATTTTTTCAACTTCCATGTTGATGACCCCCCCCCCCACCCCGCGGCTTGTATAAGGCAAGTTTGGGCACCAGCGATATCACGATCTGGTTCTAGATGGTGGCACGCTCAAAGCTTGAGACATCTCTCGATAAGGATTACCTTTTTTTTTGTTTTCCTCGGTGCAGTAATAACACGTTCCGAACTAGTGTTGGACGGCCCAAAGTTACGCGCAAACCTAGGCATGTCTGAAAAGAAATGTGCGCTTGTTCGTATGGGTTGTCCCTTCCTTTGAAACTGAAGCCTCTGTCTCTGTCTTTGTCTCTCTCTTTTTCTCCTGTGTCCTGTAGGTCTGTAAGTTGCCTGCATCAGTTTTGCTGTCCAGCTCCTCCCTTGTTCAGTCCCTCACTAGCCTCTCCCGCAGAAATCTCTCAGTGCAGGTAAGCTTAGCCTTAGCCTGTCAAATCATCACCATTTTTTTAATATTTTAACTCCATCAATTAACACAAAAGCATGAACATAGATGCTTAAGCTGATAGCGGGGGGGGGGGGGGGGAAGTAATGTTTAAGTGGCGCGTAATTAGCCCGATGATAGTTGTGGCTTAGGAGCTTAGTCCAGGAAAGTCTGTTTTCGTGGGTTAAGTGGGCTTTTGGCTTGTTTAGTTGATGTGTTTTAAAAAAAAGAAAAAAAATCTCAAAATGTTTTAATGCATCGTTCCGTAATGTATGTGTTCGCAAAGCTAAGGTTATTTTTGGACCATGCTTCAGCACGTTCCAGATGGCCTGCATTTGAGCTGATGTTGATTCAGTGCAGACGTCGGTAAATAATACCAAGGGCACGTTTGCTCTTTGGTGAGCGCTCTGGAAGCCGATGACAGTTTGCTCAGAGCTGGGTTTGTTAATTCGTGCCGTTTCCCCAGCAGTTCATTATAAGTCCCCCAACAGCACCGGGTGGGTCTATTCGTGCGCTGTAGCGTAGCTGTTAGGAAATGCGATTATAGTCGGGTGGTGGTGGCTCATGACTCCAGTTTTCGTTGCAAAGGTTACACAATCGGCTCTTTGGGTTTTCTGGTCTCAGGAGACGCATGCCAGTGGAGTATCTGAGTATATGGATGGTGGCTTTAGCTGCATTTTCTCCACTAGATGGACACATGCACACATTCGTAGTTGCGAGTCCATTGGGAGGACTGAGCAGAAATTAGTTTCGGGTGCATCACGTGACTATACATATTTAATGCTGAACAAGCTACGTAATATAATTTTATCACAGTTGTGTCAAATGAGAATGATAATATATCGATGACAAATACAATATTTAAGTGTTAATTCGAATTAAGAGATTATTCTTTATTCGGGTATGAACCAGAGATGATATTTTGTGGACCAATATTTTTCTATCACGAAACCATTTGAGCTAGTTGGGAGCTCTAGCCCATCATCGCATGTAAACCATCGCATCCAATTGTCAATCAAATCCAATTTTGCGCGCGCTATCACCCCCGAGACTGGGAAACCCACCCGGGGTGGAGTGCGTCGCCTATTTTACACTGGAGCCGTGAAGCACCACCACACACCATCGCTTAAGACTCAGATTGTTATTGGTGAGGTGGGATCCTGTTGCTGGTGGGGGGGGTTCTGGCGGCTAGGAAGACGAATGGCTCCGTCTAGCGTAAACTGTTTGTCCTCTGTGCTGCCCGCTTCCCTCTATCCAAGGAGCCCAGACAATTCCCTCCATCAATTCTGCTGCCCTGCCGCAGAGCCCAGCAGCCCCTCGTCGAGGTAAAATAAAACAAACCCCACCACAAGTGTGGGCCGCCCCGAAATCCTCGCCACGGCATGAAGCTATCCACGTGCCGACGGAGCCCGCCCATCATCTTTCTACGGCACGAATGTTCCTACGCAACGCTCCTTCTTATTGCTTCACTTTTTTGTTTATTATTATTTACTCCCCCACCCACTCAGATGACTTTAAAATTCGCCGAGAAAGCCAGACGACGTTTTTCTCTCGCTTCTTTATTCAATGTTGCGGACGGCACTGCAATGATGGATCTGAACATTACATTTAGGAGTGTATCAATATATCTATTTAGTCATTAACTGAACAAATTATTTTATAACACTTTTCATTAAGATTGTTTCTCTATCTCTCTAATTTAGCGATAACCGCGTTGATGTGGCATTCGAGCGCGGGCTTTTCATTTCCGTTCTTGCTCTTCGGCCAGTAATATTTCTTTGCTTCGAATGAATGGCCTTATGCAAAAATGTGGCGACGCGCGTGGTGATGCTGTAAACCAGGGGACATTTCGATCACCCTGCCGGTGTTTGCCGATAGCTGCTGCAGTTCACGTGCGTCCTGGGTCACTGTGTTCTGGGCCACCTAGAGGTGGGGGGGGGGGGGGAATATGTCCCGGGCCTCACACACAAAACAAAGCCCCACAACGGGACTTTTGTATGAAAAATAAGAATAGGTATATACCCTTTATGGCAATACATCAGGTGTTAAGATGTTCAAACACCAAATAGATACATTTTGCAAGAAATCAAGTCTGCATTTACCACAAGTACTTGCGGTGAACATGCAAACAAACACGCTCTGATAATAAATGCATTGTCTTTGAAAAGTATTGGCCTACACCAGAGACAGCCTTCTTTATGGCCTAGTCTCACCAGTGTCAGACCAGAGAATGCCAAAAGGCGAACAGTACAAAGACAATGCCACTATCAGAGGCATTTATAGCTTGGGGTGAGCGGCTATATCGTCAGGGTAAAACCTATTCTTATTTTACATACTTTGATACTGGCAACATGACTAAAGCTGGCCCAGCTCCACGTGCCATTCTGCCTCCCCCCGGGCCTTCAAGGCCCACGTGGAATTCTGCCGCCCCCCGGGCCTTTAAGGTCCACGTGGCATTCTGTCGCCCCCCGGGCCTTTAAGGCCCACGTGGCATTCTGCCGCCCCCCGGGCCTTTAAGGCCCACGTGGCATTCTGCCTCCCCCCGGGCCCCCAAGCCCCACGTGGCATTCTGCCGGCCCCCGGGCCTTTAAGGCCCACGTGGCATTCTGTCGCCCCCGGGCCTTTAAGGCCCACGTGGCATTCTGTCGCCCCCCGGGCCTTTAAGGCCCACGTGGCATTCTGTCGCCCCCCGGGCCTTTAAGGCCCACGTGGCATTCTGTCGCTCCCCGGGCCTTTAAGGCCCACGTGGCATTCTGTCGCCCCCGGGCCTTTAAGGCCCACGTGGCATTCTGTCGCCCCCCGGGCCTTTAAGGCCCACGTGGCATTCTGTCGCCCCCCAGGCCTTTAAGGCCCACGTGGCATTCTGCCGCCCCCCGGGCCTTTAAGGCCCACGTGGCATTCTGTCGCCCCCCAGGCCTTTAAGGCCCACGTGGCATTCTGCCGCCCCCCGGGCCTTTAAGGCCCACGTGGCATTCTGCCTCCCCCCGGGCCCCCAAGCCCCACGTGGCATTCTGCCGCCCCCCGGGCCTTCACGGCCACGTGGCATTCTTCAACTCCCCGGGCCCCCAGCCACAAGCCTCCAAGTAACCTCTGGGTGGCTCCCTGGCTGTGTGACGTCCCAACACCTGAGATGTACGAGACTCGTGTGTTACACATGCCAGCTTTCTCTTTGTTGTGCTTGCAAGCTTAAGGCTTAATTGTATTTATTGCAAAAGCAATTTAAATATAATATTATGAATATACACATGAAGTATGTATATATATATGAACACATATCTTTAAGAAAATGAAGTTAATTTATTTAACTATTTATTGTGTTTGGTAGAATTTTAAAAGTAGACTCTTTAAAGAATCATATGCATATGTTGGTTTTGCTTTTTTCTGTTTCAGTGCTATTGTATAAATGTTTGCCTAAATAAATGTGGAGTCTGAATTTACCTTGCGTCTGGGTTGTGTGTGCACGTGAGCAGATCCGATTCTGAAAACGATCAATTCACTTGGACCTAGTTCATATGGTTTCCTCCAACTCGAGCCGGCTTGAGTTGGACACTTAGTGCTCCATTAGATAGGTCTCGTACCGGTGACCACCGCACCGATACTACTGCGTCGGTGTTGACAGTTACGCCATATATCGATACTCATTCCTTATTCATTCTATTCAACATTCGTAGAACATTTTTATTGACGTTAGCTGTGTCATGCTCCCCCAACCTACCCCAAAATGTTGTACGCTTCTGTTGCCTTAAAACAAAACGTCACGTAGAAGGGAAACAACGTCACAAAGGGCGAGCCCAGCGATGCCCTGCTAATGATGGCTTGCACGTGACTGTAGGGATTCATATTCTTGTTTCTTTCAGTAAAGTCACGTAGAAGGGAAGCAATACAATAATTTAAAAAATATAAAACAATAGAAAACAATATTTTTATTATTTTATTGATTCCCTTCTACGTGACTTTACCGAAAGAACCAAGAATATGAATCCCTACAGTCACGAAAGCTTTAAATCAAAACAAAACGTCATGTTACAAGGCCTTTTGAATGCTCTTGGCCGATTTTAAAAGCTGACAGCCCGACGAGCCATGTTATTGCTGTGGCAACGTGCAAGCCATCATTAGCAGGGCATCGCTGGGCTCGCCCTTTGTGATGCTGAGAGAGCTTACGGGATGGTAACTGCACTGCCAACTTTGCTTTAAGCCAATGGCTCTTAACCTGGGGTGAACGCGCACCACCTGGGGGTGCAAGATGCCCTTTCTGGGGGTTGCGAGACGTGGGCAGATTTTTTTTTAAGGTAAATAATGGAAAACACTAATTAAGCACGGGCACGTGAGGACACCTACTTTGTTTAATCAAATCCTTTGTATTTTTTAACATTGTACATTTGTTTAACGATTAAGAACCAAAGGGGTGTAAGGCTGCAGAAAAGGTTAAAAAACAGTGTAACAAAAAAATTGTTCCTGGGTAGTAAGTGTTATTTCCTAATTGCTTATGTATCAAAAATACACAAAATGACTTATTCCCCACAAACTTTGCTTTTGTGACCAAAAGCAAAGTTTGTGGGGAATAATAGTCATTTTCCATACTTTGTAGGCGTAAGCAATTAAAAAAAATAACGCTTTACTACCCAGGGACAAAAAAATCGTGTTACATTGTGAAATCGCCGCTGTGAGCTTTGTTTTACTGTCCAGGGAGCTGTCGCTGGACCCCCAGATTTGTCCGCCCACTGCAACACCTCCTGTGATCGAGGCTCTTGCTCACTAACATAAATTACATTTCCACAGCAACTTTAACGACTTGGCTGGGAGCACTTGGCAACAACCATGCAAACTTGTTCATTCGTATGGATTAATCACAGCAGATCAAAGATGTAATTTTAGATTTGTCAACGACTCATGGTTGTTCAGAAAGCAGGGCGGATCTCCATAATAGAGGTTGTTGGGTTACATATAAATGTGTCGTTAAACCCGCCACCACCCGACACAGCCAATCAGTTAGCTTTTGTCACAACAACAACAGCATGACAATCCGTTACTCGTACAGCACACCGGCGTGTGCGCGTGTGTGTGTTGGAGAGTGAGCCCACAGCATCTACCAATCGAGTACCGACGTTTCGCTCGGAAATTACAACCGGCCCTCATCAGGCGACAAGCCAGAGCATCTTGATCTCGTGTCCACTCCTCCTTTTAACGGGGGCGAAGACAGCGGCAGTGGCAGCGGGAGTGTTCACGACTGACGGTTTGATGGCATTGGGATTCGTGGGCTCACTCGCAGGCCCTCGAATCTTTGACGCGCCCATCCTGTGCGCCATGCAAACCCACGGCCTGAGATTTAGGGAGCAGTTGGGGGGGGGCATCCATTTAGTACATACGCATGGAAGGGGGGGTTAACCCAAATGCGTATGCTTGCTTATGGGAAACGGGGGGGGGGGGGGGTTGAAGCCTCGATAATAATTTGTCTACATTGGCCTTTAAATTAGTTAGATAGTCCGGCGGTGGACTATCTGTTTTGTTTAAACACGTTAATATTATTAATCCTTGATCGTCTCTGCGTGGATTAAATATCGTCCGTTCTATAGGATTCGGGTGCGGGAGGGGGGGTGCGTCAGGCGTACGTACGCAGGTGGGAAGGGGGGGTGTAAAAAGTACGCGTGCGTATAGGGAGGTGGGGAGGGGTCAAGTTTTACGACAGATGAGAATATGTTTATAAGCATTTTTACCCTCCTATGTAAATACGCGTATACTGTAGGTTTATACGTGCTGAATAAGCACCCCCCGACCCCCACCCTCCGCTTGTATCTTAGCATAGATGATTGCTTAAATACAAGTAATGGGAACTGGTGGCACGGTGGTTAGTTAGCACACTGCGATACGAACCTGTCGATCGCAAGTTGAATTCCCATCTCCAGCTAACATCAACGGCGGGGGTGTCTGAGAGGAGCCAGGTCCTGCCTGCCAGAACCAGCACCTCTCGGCGACCTTCACGGACCATCAAGGGAGAGCATGGTCAAACAACCCGCCTCTGACTGACAAGGTGTGGGGGATAGGCCACAATCCAGCAGTGGATTGGCAAGGGTCTGTAAGTTGGTGTAAATGTCATGATTATTACAAACATGCGTGCAGTAGGCCGATATAATAACGTCAAACATGCGATCACGTGCATTGCCACAACGCAATTGCCATTCAGAGAAGGTGGAGTATTTGAACAAATACCACAACAGGTGTTTTAACATCTTAACACCTGTTTTAGTGCCAGAAAAGGTAAAACCTATTCTTATATTTTGATGCTGGCAGGGGGGGGGGGGTCCCATAAAGGGGAACAATCTGCAGCAACCAACGGCGCTCTGAGATGCGCAGAGAAGCGAACATAGTTCTAGACTTCGCCTGCGCCCTGTCATGTCGCTGTTCTTAATGTGAACCGCAGAGGGCAGTCTAAGTTGTCCGCGGACTCTTCCTTCGTCTCCTTCAATGCTGCAAGCAAGAAGTCCAACTGAACCGGTCGTTACATCATATGCATAGACCGTATGGGCCAAGCAACGTGTTTGAGCGAGCATTCATTCGTATGGGTGTTCGAACATACCCCTAACCAAGCATATCGCCCGTGGTACCTGAAACCTAGCCCTGATCCAGCCCTAAGCAGACCCGGCCTGAGATACACGACCTGGTGTGTGGCAAAAGTCCAGGGTCGCTGTGTCTCTTCCCTGCTGTGTGGCAAGTTGACTTCCTTCTAGAGCGTGACCTGTAAACAAAACAAGAAAGGATGTTTTAAAATACTTGTTCAGGGTATTATTTTACCGCACGTGTGAACGTGCACCCTTCACTAATTGCCGAATCGCCCCCGTTGGTATTTTAAGCCCGAGATGTCACATTGTGGCGAGTGTCCTTCCCGAGGGAGAATCCAAGCAGCGTGTGCGTGTGTGTGCGCGCGTTGTTCCAAACCACGGGGAGCGGTGGTGCAGCGGTTAGCGTGCTGCGGTTCGAACCCGGCGTTCGATTCTCGCTCTAGGCCAGCACCAGTGACCATTATCTGGACTGGTGCTGGGGCCTCCCCT